TCGGCCGCCGTGATGAGTGTTGACCCTCTACCTAATGATGATCGGGACCCTTTTCTGTTGCACTACAGCGACTGGCCGTTGCAAGGACACTTCCAAGAGGTGTACAACGTCGCTAGTGAGATGCTTCTAACCAAGAACGATCCGCCATTGTTCACCCCCTTCGTCTCGGCTGAAGAGCGCCGCAACGCGCTTCCACTGTACAAGGGCAGGTGCCTGAACTGCTTGGGAGATGACCACTCCTCCAAATCCTGTAATCGTGGTGTCGTGAACGCCACCGGCTTGCTTGTCAATGACATCAAGTTCTGTGTGGAAAAAGATCCTACCCTTTGGGGTCGGTGGAAAAAGCGCATGACCTCGTATAGACGCCCTACAGGACGCAACCCACATCAAAATCACCCCTTAGGACGCGCCCGCCGCTCATCTGACACATCGGGCACAAAACTGTCCTCACACACAGAGCACTCGTCGGAGGCTTCCACTTCGACAACAAGGGCCTGGAGGGGTAAGAAATGACAAGCCGATGGCGGAGTTCAGCCGGTACTACCGCCAACAGCAACCACCGTGCACCCTCTTGGAGTCTCCCAAGATGTTCGTGAAGCCTATTTCTTGGGATACTCCCCACGCTCCTCAATCACATCTTGTTTTTCGGCCCACCTCCTCGTCGTCCGCCTCATCGCCTGCTGGTAATGGACATGACAGACCCACTTCGGCAGTATCTTTGTGGTGTGGGCGACAGGGAGGTAAGGCGTCGAGCGGTCCATCCCTNGCCAACAGCAACCACCGTGCACCCTCTTGGAGTCTCCCAAGATGTTCGTGAAGCCTATTTCTTGGGATACTCCCCACGCTCCTCAATCACATCTTGTTTTTCGGCCCACCTCCTCGTCGTCCGCCTCATCGCCTGCTGGTAATGGACATGACAGACCCACTTCGGCAGTATCTTTGTGGTGTGGGCGACAGGGAGGTAAGGCGTCGAGCGGTCCATCCCTGCTCACCTCGTCGTCTCGGGTTACAGAAGGAACAAGAACCTCGTCTTCTACTATTCAAGACTCTCCTGGTGTTGTCAGCCGGGCCTCTTCTCGGATCGCACACGAGCCTTCTTCTACACTCGTCGGGACCCCGTCGATCCTCCTTCTGTTTCGCACCTCTCGTTGTATTCGACCTTCCGCTGCCCCCGTGTGACAGCACCTGATACGAATGCGTCTTCCTCTGCTGCCCACCACGTGCTGACTGCACCACTGCCATCGGGATCGGATGGTAGTGCCCACCATTCTGTGGAAGGTTCGGCTCCTTTGTCAAGGGGGAGTAGTCAAGAGCGCCCTGCGTCAATGATCAAACATCCGTCTGTTGCAGGAATGACTCCTCCTAACGAACGGGTCTCTAATAGCCGAATGGGCTCTGCTAACATTGACCCCGCCGGAGCCGCCGCCCTAAGGCCGCCCTCCGGATCACGGAGCGTTGCGACTTCGCCCGCTCCTGCCTCGCTTTCTGGGTCCTCCTCGTCGGAGAAGAGGACCCGTCCGCTTGGTCCACCCCCGCCTGTGCCTGGTGCCCGCTCTTTCCCCCTTCGCCCTGCACCGGCTCCGTCGTTTGATGACAAGAGCGAGTACGCTTCGGATGACGTCCTTCGTTTCTGGAAACTTCCGTCTGTGTTCTCGCAATGGACTCCTTCGGCTTTTGAGGTACTGGGGGTACGTTATTCATGTGCCTCCTCTCCATGGACATCGACGCATTCATGAGGTTGCTACTGCTACAGGTTCTTCGCTACGGAAGAACCCGGGCGAAAACCCGACTTGTCAACGTTTGAACGCTCCGGGGGACCATGCTCCTGGCGTTCATCTGGTGGCATCGACCTCCGCCTGTGCAGACCAGCCTCCTCTTCTCGAACATGGGCCCGATCTGGTCGGCGGCACGCTCCTGTTGGACTCGGACTCATACACCACCCGGGTCCTGCTGCATGGAGGACCTACAGCCACTTCTCAACTCGCGCGAGTGGCGCTTCCGGACTCTGGGTCTCCTGCATCCTTCGTTTCCGACTCCGTGGTCACCGCCATGATAGCTGCCGGAGCCCTGACAGCTGGCAGCGTTCGTGTTTCGCCCTCTCGTCGTTGGGGTGGGTTTGGTGATGGACCCGCCCTTGTGACCACCCGGTCGATTCGTCTCACCATTAATTTTCTCCATGGAGATAGAGCTACCGCTTCCTTGGCGGTCTGGGCCTGTGTTGTCCAGACGCCGCCATGGGGCACGCCGTGCTTCTGGGTCGTGATAGCTGGATGCGCTTCAACTCTCGCGTGTTCACCACCCTCCCCCACCCTGGCCCGGACGGCCGGGTTATGGGCGAGCTCACGCTCTCTCCGCGTTTTACAGCTGGCGCTCGCGTTTACCGTACACATGACGACGCTCCTGCCTCCTCGTTTCACCTTGAATATGCAGGGAGCTCGGGAATTTCTTCGGGGCCGGAGCCTGCACTCATTGAGGTGGGCCTCGTTCGTTCTTCTGCCATGCCTGCGCTGATTGGAGAGTATCTGGTATCGTTCAATCCCGAAGTGGGTGCGCTTTCGTCCCCAGATGCGTTCGTTTCCAATGGTCNTACACATCTAGATGTGTATAAGAGACAGCTACCGGCCCCACAACATCTACATCACCACCTCGGGTCAACGCCGTTGGCCCCAAGTCCGGGACTCACCGCTCTCCGGACCCAGCCTCCGCCCCGCCTCTTCCGAAGCCGCTTCCACAAGAACTGCTTGACCGCTTCTCTGAGGCACAGCGCTCCAGCTTCATGCGCTTGTGGGCTAGGCTGCCCGCACATATGCACGACATCGTTTTCGATCTACACAATCCGGGATGGACACCGGAGGCTATTGATCGTTNGCGCCGCTACTACGAGTACCGATGGAAACCCTGAAGGCGGTACCATCTTCGTTCCTACCGGCCCCACAACATCTACATCACCACCTCGGGTCAACGCCGTTGGCCCCAAGTCCGGGACTCACCGCTCTCCGGACCCAGCCTCCGCCCC